TACGGCCTACCAGCTTGTCATAAATACTATTCTGATGCTCCATCTAGTCCCTCCTCACCTTGTCAAACTCCCCCATCGTAGACGTATCCACCGACCCGGCGCAGTGCCTCCGGACAAACTCCCGAACATGCGGGATGATAGCCGCCATGAAAGCCAGCGCCTGGGACGCGAGAGCGAGGTGCTTGGTCGTGATGTTTCTCAGCCCAGCAGACCGAGTCGCTCCCGCGCCCAGGATGAGCTGCTTGCACCTCGAGTTGAAAAGCTGGAGGTAGGCGATGAGGGACGACGAAATGTCCGTTGTCATGGACGGGATCGAGGTGATGAGCTGCAAGAAATTCTCCATGCCCGTCATGCAGAGGATGGCCGAGTTGGGGAGGAGGTAAGACTCGGATTCGATTACAGCGCTGCGGGTTCTGCTTCTCGTGGCAGCAGGGCTGCCGCCGCCGTTTGCTTGGGCGGATACGACGTCTGGTTCATCTCCTCCGCCGTTGGCCTCGCTCCTTTCCTGCGGCGCGTCCGGATGGGGATGCCAGACCTGCGTGCCCTCCGTCCACGCGGCAGCATCTCTGGTGCTGCACTCGAGAATCCGACTCAGCAGGTCCGTGTCCTTCTCGGTGAAGTCAGCCGCGTTCCACTGGTCTGACTCCATGCCCTGGGCGAGCTTTTGAGTTTGTGCGTCGCCGTGGAGTTTGACAAAGTCTGTGATGTGACCATTGACTAGCGTCTTCAGTGCCGTGCCGCTCCGTCCAGATATGGCCTCGCACTCGTTGGCAAAGTAAAGGTTGAGGGTAAAGTACCGCAGGAAGGAGACAAGATCCAGCCGTTTGCTCTGCTCAGACCGTACCCGAAGCACCTTGACAATCTTTTCCTGAGCTGCGTCAATCGCTTGCCCGAGAAAATTGGAAATATCCACAGCCGCATGGATCTCCTCCTGGGCCTCGACCGCAGCTCTCGATGGTGGTCTTGCTGGAGGACTCATAGGGGGCGACCTGAGCGGTGGCGACTTCAGCCCGGATGGACCTGCGTCGCCTATCGTGCTTGCAACATCCAACAAGACCTTCATCTGCGTGCTCAATCTCCTGAGAGCCTCCGTAACACCAATGTAGATCTTTACCAGCAAGGTTTCGGCATCCAGAGGGTCCAATGCTCGCAGGTTTCTAGCCAACTGTATGGACCGGTCCTGCTGAGTCCGCGGACTGGCGCCTCGGTTCATCGTCGAGCTGGACTGCATCGACATCATCGACGCCGTGTCGTCGTCATCGCTGGAGCTAGGCAGCGGCCGTCGGATGATGGCTTTGATCTCCTTCATCGCTGCCTCGCGATATGCAGTCGCGGCCACAGTGATGAACTTGGCCCGATGCAGCCCCGTCAGACTAGGCAACAGCTCTATCCTCAGAATGTCTGTCGCCGCCATATAAGACGGGAACGCCGATGGTTCACGACTGTGGGCGCCGCGGGCTCGCATCGAAGCACTACTCCAACGCATGAGCACCTCCTGCGCAGACACCTGTTTGACGTGGTTTTGGAGATCCGTAAGCAGAGTGTTGAGAAACCTTCCTTCATATGCCTTTCCGATCCGGAATCGCAGAGTAGACAAATCGTTGCTCACGCCCTGGAGAGCTGTGGCACCCCGCAGGTCCACCAGACTCACTCCAGACTGACTGCCACCCTCGGGCAATTCGCCAGCGATGAGCTTCTCCAAGCCATCGATGTTGTCCAAAGCTTCATCGATGTTTCCAGCATCCACAAGGGACTCGCAGACGGCAACACCGTCTACTATTTTCCGGAGTTGTGTGACGGCGTCGTGTAACTGCTTCAGATTTTCCCTCCTCCGCCGTTGTTGTATGATGTTGAGCCCCCCTGTAGCAATCTCTTCGTCTAGGTTTTCCAGCTCCTTGCGCAGTGCCTTGATCCTCTCTACTGAGTCGGCCGCTTCCGAGTGCAGTTCCCGCAGAGAACCCAGCGCACTGAAAAAAGTCGTTGATGCCGTCGAGATGGACTGAATCAGATGCCATTCAATCGTATCCATATACCACGAGAGCTTCTCCTGTAAGATCGCATTGGTCGCTAGAGCCTTCCGAGGCGCCGCAGCTTGTCCATTCGGTCCCCCTTTATCATCCCCCGGCGCGGGCCTTACCACCTCGGATCGCTCGCTGACTACATCAAAAGTCCGTGGATTCTCAAGGTGAAAGTCCTCCTCAAAATATACAGCGGGAACGGTCGACAAAGGTGGTGGTCCCTGCGCTTGTCGGGTTCTGAGACCGGAACTGGGCCGCCGAGGAAGAGTGGGCGAGTCTATCGAGGTGAGGGACGAGATGGATGCAGTCGAAGTTCTCCTCGACGACAAGCCAGGCCGTCTTGCAGGGCGCAAATGACCCTCGTCCACCGGGGTTTCGGGCGCCTCGTCAGCTTTGGTGCTTCGTCGGTTCGAGGCGTTCGCATTCTCGTCTTCCTCGGCTTGGATTCGCCGCAACTGCTCATATAACGCCCCAACCTGGGAGAGGTATGGTCTGAACTCGGAAGCATCGACGTGGGGTACATTCGTAAGTGTCACGGGAGGTATGTCTCGGGCGGTCGGAGGTTTGTGCGCGCTCGAAGCAGGGGCGCTCGTATGTGGAAGCAGGCCTGTCCGGACTATAGGGGGTTGCAACAGCGTGGAGATGGCATTCTGACCCGATTCGAAGACGGCGCTGGTCCAACCGGCGGAGGCGTCCAGCGATCCGCCCACCGAATAGATGGAGCTTGCTGTCGAGTCTCTACGTTGGCGTTGTGGGCTGCTCGGTCCTTTGCTGTCAAGCTGTTAGCTGTGGACCGGCGGCCGCGCAGTGGGAGACAGGGGGTAAGCGCATACCCGTGAAATGGGAACTCCGTTCGATGGCCGGCGGACAATGTCGACGACAAGCTATCGACCGACTTGCGCCCACCCTGGTTTGAGAACATGATGATGGATGCGCAACCCCACTGATGTTCCCCGGCCGCAAGGCGAAGTTATGATCTTGCTGGAGACCATCCAGGGGTTCCAAGGTGCATCCCCTAACTAACAACAGTTGCGAAGCTGACAGATCACCGGGGTATCATGCTGTAGCTGACAGGACAGATACAACAGATGAAAGCGCGGCAATGCTCCAAAAACGGGGTCGTATGTCGTCGCCGAGTATATGGTCAGGAGGAGGTCAGTAACGAGTGCCTTTTCGAGCTTCAGGGCAGGTCGTAGAGCCGTCGTCGTCACAGGAAGATGCTGAGAGATGGCTAGGAGTAGCCTGCCAAATGCGTTCCCATCACCAATTCACAGGCATACGCTTAAGGTAGCTTGGTACGTGCATAGGCCACATCATCTAACAGCATAACGGGGTCTATTTCTTTATCCGATTGGCCTTGGCAGACCCGACAAGCTGGGTACCCTGCCTTTACCGGGGCAATTAAACCCATCGCTACTAGAATAACGACGCGCTTTGGGCCGCGACGCGACGCGACTTTTCAAACCCCTGATTCTTTTTGTAGACATCTCAACTTTTGGCCCCTCCATAGCTCTAGATACTCTCAACTTCACCGCCCGCCATTACCTCACCACCACCACCACCACCAACAAGTCTTCATCAACATGGATCGCCAATCCGTTTTTGCCAGCAGGGTGTACAATGATCCATTTGCCGAAAATGAAGACTCCAACAGTGCCATCCGCGCCCTTCTCGAGGCCTTTATTCTCGACTTCAGACTCGATAATGTCTACATTTACAGAGATCAATTGCGCGACCATGCGCTGCTGAAAACATACTTTTGCGATGTCAACATCGGCGACCTGATCAAGTTCAACGAAGAGATTGCCCACAAACTGGTGACGGAGCCAGCAGAAATCATCCCCCTCTTCGAGCTCGCCCTGCAGCGGTGTACCCATCGAATTGTTTTCCCTCACGACTCAAATGTCAAGATCCCGCCTCACCAACTCCTCCTTCACTCGAATGCCGAAGATATTTCCATCCGTAACCTGGACTCCCTCACCATCTCGAGGCTGGTCAGAGTACCAGGTATCGTCATTGGTGCTTCGGTCATGTCCTCAAAGGCGACAGAAGTCCACATCGAATGCCGAACATGCAAGCACGCACAAGATCTTCACGTATCCGGCGGTTTCAGCGGCGTCACTCTCCCCCGAACATGCGGCCGCGCTCGCGTCCCAAATGACCCAACCGAGAAGTGTCCCATGGACCCCTACTTTGTCGTTCACGAAAAGTCCAAATTCGTCGACCAGCAAATCATCAAACTCCAGGAGGCACCCGACCAAGTCCCGGTCGGTGAACTCCCCCGCCATGTCTTGATCTCTGCCGACCGCTACCTCACCAACCGTGTCGTCCCCGGATCCAGATGCACAGTAATGGGCATCTTCTCCATCTACCAATCCAAAGGCTCCAAAAACACCTCTGGCGCCGTGGCCATCCGCACCCCTTACCTCCGCGCAGTGGGCATCCAGACCGACATCGACTCAACCGCCAAGGGCCAGGCCGTATTTTCCGAAGAGGAGGAGCAAGAGTTTCTTGAACTCTCCCGCCGCCCAGATCTGTACAATGTCATGACTGATTGCATCGCTCCCTCCATCTACGGCAACCGCGATATCAAAAAGGCTATTTTGTGCCTCCTGATGGGCGGCAGCAAGAAGATTCTGCCAGATGGCATGAAGCTCCGTGGTGACATCAACGTCCTCATGCTCGGCGACCCCGGTACAGCCAAGTCGCAGCTCCTGAAATTCGTCCAGCAAGCCGCCCCCATCGCGATTTACACCTCGGGCAAGGGCTCTTCGGCAGCAGGTTTAACCGCTTCCGTCCAGCGTGATCAGTCAACGAGGGAATTCTACCTCGAAGGCGGAGCCATGGTCCTGGCCGACGGCGGTGTGGTGTGCATCGACGAGTTCGACAAGATGAGAGACGAAGACAGAGTAGCCATCCACGAAGCCATGGAGCAACAGACTATTTCCATTGCCAAGGCCGGCATCACCACCATTCTCAACGCCAGGACGTCGGTGTTGGCGGCGGCGAACCCTATTTTTGGGCGGTATGATGATATGAAGACCCCTGGTGAGAATATTGACTTTCAGACGACGATTCTGTCGAGGTTTGACATGATTTTCATCGTCAAGGATGAGCACGAACGGGGCAAGGACGAAAGAATAGCCAAGCATGTAATGGGCATTCACATGGGCGGGAGGGGGATGCAGGATGAGAGGGCGGTGGAGAGCGAGATTCCTGTTGAGAAGATGAGGAGGTATATCAGCTACTGCAAGAGGTATGTCCCCCCTTTTCCCCCTTTTTTGCCCTCGCAATACTAACTTCCCCGTGTAGCCGCTGCGCCCCCCGCCTCTCGGACGCGGCAGCAGAGAAGCTTTCGTCCCACTTTGTCGCCATCCGCAAGCAAGTCCACGCCTCGGAACTCGAAGCCAACGCCCGGTCCTCCATCCCCATCACCGTCCGCCAGCTCGAGGCCATCGTCCGCATCACCGAGTCCCTCGCCAAGCTCTCCCTCTCCCCCGTCGCGACAGAAGAGCACGTTGACGAGGCGATCAGGCTGTTCCTCTGCTCGACCATGGACGCGGTCAACCAGGGTTCTAACCAAGGATCCCGGGAGCTCAACGAGGAGGTCGCCCGTGTGGAGTCGGAGCTGAAGAGGAGATTGGCGATTGGGTGGAGCACTAGTCTGGCGAGCTTGAGGAGGGAGATGGTGGAGAATAAGGGGTATAGCGAGGCGGCGCTGAATAGGGCGTTGATGATGATGCAGAGGAGGGATACGATTATGTTTAGGAACCAGGGGGCGATGGTGTATAGGAACGGGGCTTAATGTGTGTGTTTTTTGGTCATTTATGTTGGGCATAAATATGGGCGCAGGGCGCGAGGATTAGCATTGAAGGATACCACGAGCAAAAAATATCTGATTTATTTCCCATCTATGCTGCTGTCATTGTCTACCTAAAGACTGTTGTTCATTCCAAATTGTGCCTGTGCTATGCAAGCATGTACAAATCACTTTCTCCAGAATTCAAACAAAAACCATCACTTACCACACCCCCCCCTAAATCAACGCAACAGTATGATCCTCCCTCACCCTCGCCACAACCCCCAACCCAGCTTCTTTTCCAGCAACAGCCGGGCCCCTGACCACAATCTATCATCTTTGTCAGCAAACCATATTCTCTCGGGTTTCATTTTTTTTTCTTTTTTTCAATTTTTTTTTTCAAAACTCACCTCTCCTTGCGACTCCTCATCACTATTCCTCACCCCCCCCTTATCCCTCAACACAACCTCCACACTTGCCACCGGCGGCCCAAAGTGCTCCCCTCCCCGATAATCATACACATTCGTCTGACACACCGCGCCCGCAACCCTCGCCGCCGTCAACGCGTACACCACCCTCGCACCGGTATACAACCTCAAATCATTCAGCTCCTCCCCGCTCAACCTCACCTTCCCACCCCCGTTAATCCTCTCAGCAGTGTACACCAACCTCAACTTCTTTCCGCCCGAAAACTTGGGACGGAAAGCTTGGTTGTAATAGTTGGTCAGAAACCCACTCTCGGGGAAAGCACCACTTTCGGCCAAGGACCGAGACAAAAGCCAGTGGAGGTCCTTGCCTATGGTTGATGACTTGAGAGCAGACGAGACCTCCTTGTGAGTTTGGGACAGAGCAGAAGGTGTGACAGCTATGACAGTAGGAGAAACGGCCGGAGAGCTGAGGATCGCAGACAAAGAGGGCGCTTCGGACGCGGAAGAGTTGAACGCAACCGAGGAATTGGAAAACAGAGCCGTGAGGGTGAGAACCAAAGTGTGCGAGTTTGCCAGCGAGTCCGCAGGGAGGAAAAGATCCGAGGGGCTGAGACGGCGGGCGGTGGGGATGGCGGTTAGCTGGGCTGCAATGGCGGAGACGATGTTGCCTGTGGTGAACTTGACCATTTCCTCTTCCTGCCCGGGGCCTTGTTGCCAGAAGAGGGTGATGTCTTTTGGTTCGGACTGGTCCTCAAGAGGGGGGAGGGTCTTGCCTGCTTCGACGGGGGAGTCGCTGATGATGTCTTGCCAGGTGGCAACATTGACTTTGCTGCCGGTGCCCTGGGGTACTTCGTTCCAGTCCATGTGTTTGCTTCCTTCGTCGACCACCCACACCAGTTGGCGGAGGGAGGGGTAGTTCTTAACCACGACGTCAAAAGGGAAAGATCCAGGGGCGGTGATGACCGTGTCGGCGGCGGAACGGCGGAGCATGTCGATGACGGCGGCGTCGGGTTGGTTGAAGGGGAGGATGATAGCGTTCAAGTTGTAGAAGGCACAGGCAAAAAGGGTAACGATCAACTCGACAGAGTTGGGCAGGTAGACGGCCACGTGGTTGCCACCTTGGTCGACAAGATGCTGGCCGATGAGGTTGATTTGCCGAGTAAGAGCGTCGAGATGGTGCTCTTTGACGTTCTCGGTGCCCTCGACGGTGAGGATACGGCCCTTTGCGCCCTTGTCGTCACCTTCTTGGACGCCGGCGAGGGTCTGCCGCCAGATATCCCTGAGATCACCATCACGGCCCCTCGCCCACTTGTTGGCGCCGGGGTCCTTGACGTTTAAGCCGGTGTGAAGAGACAGACCATGGGGGGCAGCTTGAGGCCGGTAGACGGAGGATTCTTTGGGCTGGCGGACAGGGGAAGCCTGGGACTGACGAGCGAGGAGGAAGGGGTGAATATCGGGATCTTGGCGGGTCGAGACCTGGTAGGTGATGAGGCCGGCGAAGAGGGTGACGATGAGACTGGTCCAGATATTCCACTGCTTGAAGAGGCCTGTGACGCCCTCGTCAAGCTGTAGCAGCAGGTTATCAAAGGTCCCCATGTTGGGCGAGGGGCTTTGATTGTGCTGTGCTGTACTGTGCTGTGTTGGTTTGTGATGCAAAGAAGACAAAAGTTGTGGCCCCCCGCGCTGGTGGTGTAAGGGGCCCTGTTCGTTAGTGTCTGGAAGATGCAGCCGGGCCGGGACGGGTGGAGATCCGGGACCTTGGTGCGAGCTGGAGGTTTTGGGCCGGACAGGACACGGGGGCGGGGCGGTTGCTTGGAAATGCGCGATGGCGGGGGGAGCTCTGTTGTGCCTGCCGGAAACAGACAGCTGCAAATGCCAAGTCTCACAGCTGCCAGGACCCCTGCAACCCGTTTGCATCGACCTGGAGAACTGGGGACCTGGATTCAATGTTTTGACGCGACCGTCACTTTTTGCCCAGAACAGTGAGCGGACACACGGGAAGTCGAGACGCAAGGAGGGAGCGGCTGTTCGCATCTTACTAACCACCACTATCAACAGGGGTCAACAACTATAGACCGCCGTCGCCACGACAATCGCGACATGAACTTCTAATCAACATAGCTCTGACGATATTTACAGCTCTCAAAACACTGAGCGCATCTTACCGCATCGCCAACCATCGCGAGACAGTTCCTCCGACCGAGTGTCGCCGCCCATTGAGCGCCCATTATGTCCCTAACACCCGTCAGATCGACGCCCACAAAGCAAATCTCGTCCCCATCCGCCTTTACAGAAAGCCCCGGCAACTGGAAACACCCTCGCCTGGCCGAGATCACAGAGCGCCAAGCCAGAACCACCTTCTCCCAAAAGAACGTCCTGCAAATCGTCTATAATGTCGTCGCAATTGCCGGCGTTCAAGTCCTGAGAAGATTTCTTCTTCCGCACCTCCCGATAAGACTGTACGTTTTCCCCCTCGAACCCTCCCTTTTTCAACCTACTAACCCCCTCTCCCTAGAGAAAAACTCCCCTACGGTTCTTACATCCCCCTAACCCTCCTCCTAATCCCCCTCTTCAACATCCTCCTCGCCCTCCTCCCCTTAGTCCGCCCCAAGGACGACCTCTCCGACATACCCCTCACCCCCGCCCAGCGCGACCTCCTCGGCCTTCCCCCCATCAGAGCACCCCCCACCCCCGCCTCGGACATCTCAACCCCCCCGAAATACTCCCGCACCCCCTCCATAGCCGGCTCCCCCTCCGGTTCTTACACCTCCTCCCCCTTGTCCAACCGCAGCACCCCCTTGGGGAATTACTCACCCTCCCCGACCAAAGCCGCCAATTTGGTCAGCCCTCTCCTGCAAAAGGCAACGCAAAATACCGGGAGGAGGGGAAGCTTCAGCAATAGTCTGAATAGTTCTACCATGAGCTTCGCGAGCAGCACGACGAGCAACAACAGCTTTGCGAGCTCGACGGGGAGTTTTGGGGATAGTGTGAGGGATAGTTATCTGCATACGCCGACGCCGGTGAATGGGAAGAGGAGCAGTGTGGCGTTGAATAGCAAGTGGTTGTATGAGAGGGGGAGGAGGGGGAGTAGTAGCAGTTGGTTGAGGCAGGATGGTTTCTGAGTGGCTGTACGGGAAAGGGACATGTAGGTCGGGGAGTCGGGGAGTTGGGATGAAAAGTAGGGAGGAGAGGAGTTTAGGAATAGGATCAACACGGAGGGAAGGGGGGTGGTATAGGAGCAAAGGGGAATTGTGTGTTTTGATTGGCATAGCATTTATGAATCGTTTTGTGATTGGGTTTTGTTAACTTTTCCCATACAGTGTGTATATATTTTTCATGGTGTGGGCTTGAATAGTGATCAACTTCACACTCTATGAGCGCCTGTGAGGAAATGAGATGTCAAAACCGGCAATGAATTGAAGCAAACCCCCAAATAGCTAAATCAATAACTCCATTTTTCGTCCCAACAAAAGCTAGATCCCCTAAGCCCTTGTGGTCTTCTTCTTGGCCTGCTCCTTCACCTTGATAGCTGGGAGCGTAAACTTCTTGCTCAGCCCATTCTTCAGCGCCTTCCACTTGCCCCAGTCCTGGGCCTGGTTCCATGACAGGAAACCAACCCAGGGCTGGACGTTGTAGTGAAGCTTGAGCTGGACGTCTTCTGTGTTGGCGAGCCTGCCTGTCGGGTGGGTGAGGGGGTACTTGAGGCGCTGGTTCTTGAGTTGGAGTTTGCCGCTGTTGAGTCGTTAGCAATCCCATTGCTGCTACTTAAAAAAGAGAGATGGCGCCTACCGGCTAGGATCAATCCCCTTCCCATTGGCGCTCTTCCTCAACCTCTTAAGCTTCGAGGGGCTAAAATTCCCCAAATGGTCACTGCTCGGCGCCGTGATGATCGTGTCCCAGATCACGGCCTGGTTGGTCGCATTGTTGTTTTGGGCCGAGGGCCACTCGGCCGTGACGTAGGCAAAGACTTGCTTTGTGTTCCAGGTGAAGAGGGAGGAGAGGTCGGCGTCAAGGGTGAATTTGATGATGGCGTATTCTTCCTTTTTGGACGAGTAGTAATCCGCACGGCCTTTCACCGTTTGGAGCTGGGTTGTTTTGAGGACGTTGACGGTGGGGGTGCGGGGGGACAGGAAGTCGGAGGCGGAGATTAGGAGGGCGACGACGAAGGCGACGGTGGTGAAGAAGCCGAAGGTGTTTTGGAGGCGGACGAGGGAGGAGTACATTGTGATGTGGTGGGTGCGCTCTTGCGCGGTGGGTTGGGAAGGGAATTGAGTCGATTCCCTGGGTGAGAATAAGGGTGTCACCTCGGGGGGTTCATTTGCTGGTTGGGGGGGTGGTGGTGTTTGCGCACTGGATGTTGAAACGTGGGGATATCGCAAAGGGAAAGCTTGGTGTTGCGCCGGAGGCTGCTAACAATGGAGGTTCTCTTGAGGCCAGATTGATATGCACTTAGCGGGGATAAGCTCTGCAAATGAAATAATGTTAGGGTTATGTATGGTAGATCTTATCAGCGGGCGGCCCGCTGTGATGTAACCCAGCTTGTCCGCTTGACAGCGGTCACTGTGAAGTACTGAACATGCTGCTATAAACCACCCGATCCAGATCCCGATCCCCGATCCAACTCCCCCCCCGAACGACGGGATGCTATGCACCTAACATAACCGCCAAAATGGGTGCCAGCGACTCCAAACTAGTCTTCAAGAAAGGCATCTTTAGACTGTCGGAGGAACGCCATATTCCTGCTGACGATCCATACTGGGCTCAGGTGCGTTTACAGCCAGCAGCCTGCTAGATAGGGCAATACGTCACGCTAACACACCTGCTGCACACCAGTTCTGGGAGCTCCCCGAGTCCTCGGACGACATCTTCAGTCTTTTTGCCCCGGCCGATGTCCGACGAACCCGCGATAATGCGCTCGAGAACCTGGAGACGCTGATAACAGCTGTAACCGGGCGCCTGTTTATGCTTCGTCACCACCCGTCCTTTCCCGACCACGAGCTTGCCCCAGATCGAGAGGTGCTGAACTGCGTTCGCGTTCTTACGAGGGTCCTGCCTTATATCTACGAGAAGGAGAGCTTGCAGGACTGGGAGGATAGCTTTCTCTGGGCTCCCCGGCGCAAACGGTCCAGAAAGTCATCGATTGCGAGTGAAGTGCTGTTTGATGGCGCAGACGGTGTACCCAAGACACCGGTGGTGGAGTACGAGGATGCGAAACCTCTGGCTGAGGAGCTGATCGATACCGTCACCGACCTGCTCTTTTTCTCCGATTTGACGGTCACCAAGGTGCCAAATGGCAAGCCCAAGGTCACTTATAGCATCTGGCAGACCGGCGTTGGCTGTACAGTACCTATCGCCACGACCAAAGAGCATGAGAGCAATCGGTGTGAGATACTTCGGTTGCTTTTGACGCTAGCCAGCAAGAGCATGTACTTGTCTTTGGCGACGCTGCCTCAGACGGGGACCAAGGCTCTCACCTATATCTGCACTTGTCCCGACAAGCAGGTGGTTCTCTCGGTGCTCTGTTCGCTGTTGAATACGGTATGTCCAGGCTTGAACTGTGAATAACGACCACAACTAACGAATGTAGACTCTGAAATATAACCCAGCTACCTGGCTAGCACCCTACAACGCCCTGGTGCCCAACCATCCCAAGCAGCTCTTGGTTACCTCCACCCTGCAATTCCTCCTAACCACCCTCCTATACACCATCCCAGAAAACCCAGGACTCCCGACACCAAAAAACCACTACCGACACTACCTAGGCCGCTTACATAGGCCTTCAGACTTTCAGTTCATCGTGGACGGCATGACCCGAGTGCTGAACCAACCCCTTCAGGGGTCGTACATTCCAGGCGCTCACGCTGCTGTCCGCTTTGCCCCTGAGATCATAATATTGTTCTGGGAGGTGACCCAGTGTAACAAGCGATTCAGGTCTTTCCTGATCGACACAGGAAGGGCCTATGATTTTGTCATTTTGATTTTGTTCTACGCCTTGGAGTACAAGAACGATGCTTCCAAGCAAGGTGTCGTGAGGATGTGTGCCTTCTTGCTGCAGACGCTGAGCGTAGAGAAGAACTTTGGGACAAACTTGAACAAGTCGTTTGATGCCCAGGACACTCTGCCCCCCGCGATTCGGATTGCGGGGTTCAGGGGGACGTATGCTGATTTTCTCATTCAGGTGAGTTGTTTTGCTTGGTCTAAATCCAGTCCAAGACACTGAGGTACTGACAACAACAGTCCATTTATGCTCTCATCACAACCAGTCAGGGAAAACTGACAGCGATCTATCCGGCATTGCTGGCCATCATCAACAACATTGCGCCCTATCTGGATGGGTTAAGCGCCCCTACCTGTTCCAAGATTATGCACCTGCTCAACTCCATGTCTTCGCCGTCGTTTCTCCTAGCCAATGAAACCAACCATTCGTTACTGCGGTCATTGTTGGAGGCGATCAACTCGATCGTTGAACACCAATACATCCGTAAGTATTGTTGCCAAAAAAAAAGAGTCCAAGATTGCATACTGACAGTGTCGTAGAAAACGCGCACTTGGTGTTTGCGATACTCAGAAACAAGAAAAGGTTCGAGGCCCTCCGATCATTTACACTGGAAAGTGGGCATGAAGAAATGGAAAGACGTAACCGACGGAGGAAGGATTCTGGGGCTTCAAATGACCCGCTACAAGCCGACTCAACTAGAAGTTCACTCGAGAGTCTGAGAAGCCCGGTGACACTTTCCTCACGAGCACCCGCACCGGGCGATGTTCCAGAGGAAGATGGGACATTTGCTATCGGCGACGATGATGACGACGACAGTGATGATGAGGAGCGGCCTACACCGGCGGCTTCCAGCCCCAGTGAGAATCCATCACGGGCGTCCTCTGTCGCGTCTCCGGTCGATGATGATGTACCGAAACAGCTGCGCGGCATGTCGGAAAAAGCTAGAGGCAAAATGCCGGCGGGAGCGCAGACCTTCTCGCGTCAGAACAGCACGACCAGCCTGGGCAGCATGTCACAGTCAGTCTCCGGCATCTTTGAGCCATCAACGCAATGGATCGAGACGTGGCTTCCAGAGTTGCCACTGCACACCATCTTGACGTTGATCCAACAGATTTCAGCTCTGATCCCACGGCAGGCTTTCGCGTCTGATCCGCCACTGCCTGCGACGTTGGACAAGATCAGGGAGATTCAGCTCGTGGGTGTGGACCAGACCCCGGCGAGGGTGCACTCGTTTGAGTGGTCGCCGCTGGCACTGGGGTGGTACGAGAGCCTGCTGTGGGGGTCTATTTTTGCGAGCGAGGTGCAGGTGTCGAAGGGGACGATGGGGATATGGAACGCGACGCAGATTAAGCTCTTCCGGGTGCAGGAGACGGCGCCTCAGGGACCGAGCCTGACGAGCCCGAGGGGGGCGGTGGACGCGGTGGGGAGTAATATTGTGTCGAGGATTGGGCAGATCAATTTGAGAGGAGGAGCCGGGGGGGCGGGAGCGGGAGGTCAAGCGCCTACTGGAGGGACTCCGAGAGGCAGCTAGAACTAGACGCTCACTTCACGCTCTGACAGAGCATGGAGAGGATGGTTGGATGGCGAATGCTATACATGTTTTTCTGCTGAACAGATAGGGGGAGCGCGCGTCTGGTGTGTTATCATGACATGTGGCTGTGCTGCGAAAAAGGGGGAACTTTGTGGTGATCGTCACTCGCCACTCTGTGTGGTCTGGATGGTGTGGCTTGAAGACACACACTCTCACATCGCACTCGAAAAGGGGCCTAGAACCATTTTATTTTTGGGAACACGGGTGCACAGTTGAGCATCATGATCATCGGAGTCATGATGAAGTTTGCTTGCGTGTGTGTTGAGCAGATCATATGCATTGGGGGGACATGATAGGCATTAGGTACAGAAGCAGAGAGAGCACTACTACAGTATAGTAGCTCAACAAGCACATTTTACATACACCACAGATGCAGAGTACCACATACAACGGCATCTCGGCAATCCGGGGAGAGTGGCAACGGGCCTTGGGAGCACTTGCATAAAGTCTTGGTCCAATGAATCTCGGGGGAGGGTTACGAGATGAGGAACAATAGCCAAGTTTTTTTTTTTTTCACTGAAAGGAAGGGTACTAACGAGCCACATTTTCTGCCACAGTCAGGCTGGGTTTGGTTGATCATTTCCGAAATCTGCACTACGACGTTTCGTCAGCACCGCCACTGTTTCATGTACTTTTTTGATCATAACGGTCCGGTGTGGCGTATTGAAGGTGTGGTGATCCAATAAGAGGCGTTGGGGGAGGATTACTAGCCACAGGTTGGACCCTTGGTGCACGCGGGCCAGGACCCTGGAATTAGCGGACATGGGGGGGGGGGGAGCATTTGTTCCTGACGAAACTGCGAGACTGTCCTTGTCACTTTCTTTTGGCGTGCTCTCTTCCACCCCGGACTCCCGATCAGCCCTGCCTGAACGGTTTTGTTTTGTTGTTGGCGGGAGCCAGCCACCAGCCAGCCGCCGGGTGATGGGGATGGGGATGGGGATGGGGATGGGGATGGGGATGGGGATGGGGATGGGGATGGGGATGGGGATGGAGTTGGGGTGCTCCTTTCATTTCATTTTGTTTCCTTGACCGCTTGGTGGAGGAAGGGTTCGGTGTTTAGAGGGAGGTAGGGTGGTTGGAGGGGGAATGTTCGGGGTAGGGTGACGAAACTGGTGTTGACCTGATGGGTTTATTACTTACATAAGGAACTGTATGTACTGTACACATGAAAGTTGAATCAGCTAAGGAAATTCGCGGCAGGTGATTGATGCAGAATGCGGTATGGCATGGATTTGTGTTATAGCGTGTGGGGTGGGATGCATGTATGTAATGTTGTGGTGGTGGTGGTGGTGTGGTTCATGCGCTTATAATACCCGATGACCCTTCTTCCTTTCTTGGAACACACCTCGTTTTTTCTCGTCCCAACTATTTTTTGTTTTGTTTTTGTTCGATCGTTTTGTCGTTCGTTTGACAGTCTATCTTGAGGTGTGAACGAGAGCAGATATATGTTGTTCTTGAGTTTGGAAACATACCTATGCGAATAATAACGTGGTAATTTTGTTGGTGTATAATACTGGAGACATAATATGGCGGACGCTGTGGTGGGATCGCCGGCTGCCGATGAGGTCAGGCCGTACAAGATACATGTAAGTGTCCGTCTTGTTTTCAGAGTGGTTCGTGAGACTGACAGGTTGTACAGGTTCCGACGAGGCATCTCCACCTCGCACGACAGAAGCTTGAGCTCACTAGACTGCCTCATGAGGGGTCTCTGCCAAAGTCGACCGAGTGGTGGGAGCCAAAGCCTGTTATCGAGCCGCTGATTGACTACTGGCTTGAAAAGTACAACTTTCGCGATATCGAGTCCAACCTCAACGCCAACATCCCCCAGTTTCGGACCTCGATTGCCTTGTCGGAATCGGCATCCCCTCTCAGGATTCACTTCATCCATGCCCGGTCCTCTTCCGCCAACGCTCTTCCTCTCTTGGTGCTGCCACCATTCCCACTAACTAACCTCTCCCTCTCCCACCTCATCAACCCCCTCACAACCCCATCCGACCCGACTCATCAAGCTTTTCATGTCGTCATACCCTCTTTGCCAGGATTGGGCTTCTCCGACTCCATTCCCGCGAACCGCTCACCCATAGACGCCACGGCCTCGATATTTAATACATTAATGACCTCTCGATTGGGCTATAGGCACTACCTGACAACTAACACGTCCCCCGGCTCCTCTTCGCCATCCCGAATCGACTTCCACCTCGCCCACGCCATCTCAACGACCTACTCTGACTCCTGCCTGGGAACCCATCTAATCTCCCCTGTCCTCTCCGCGCCAAAACTCACAAGCTCACCCATCGAATTCGCAAAATGGTCTCTAGCCTGGTTCTTCAGGGGTGGTGTGGCTGGCTATGAAGAGCGGGACTTCCTGGGGTACTACTCCCACTCTTCTTCACCACCAATCACAGAGATAAGAGACCCGAATACCCTGGCATACGGACTGTGTGACTCCCCAGTTGGAATGCTGGCTTTTGTGTTGAGGCACCTGCGACAAATCGCCAGCGGCAATGGTGGGGTTGTAGGATCAACAGGGACATTCACAAGAGAGGAATTGATCACACTTACGAACTTGGCCTGGTTACCTGGACCGGAAGGGCTGTTGCGGTTTTGGTCGGGGACTTCGCTGCATCACTCTTCTCATCAGCTGCCGGCGAAAACGCCAACAAAGCCGAAAGTTGCGATTACGGTCTTTGCGAGTTCGTACTCTTCCTCGACAGCGACTGCAGCACCAGCAGCAACGAACGAAAAGGACGATGTGGAGCAGCTTGATTTGTCTGGTATTGGTCGAAACCAGGGAAGAGCACAGTCGACATTCTATCCACCTGCCTGGGCGCACGGCTCGTACTCGGTGCTGCACACTTCCCGGGTTGATTCGCAGCCTCCGTCATCACTACTGCTGTTTGAGCAGCCGGACATAATCTACGATGGGATCCGGGCTTTGGCGAAGGAGGTGCTGAAGATAGACAAGAGGATCATACCAGTAGCCCCCCTGACTGGTGTTGTGGTTGAGCCTGCTTCCACCGCCACGCCTCAGCCAACAACAGCAACACAGCAGCCCAAACCAGAAAAGACGATCAAACCTGTTGTTGCGGAGCCACCAATTCTGCGAACAATAAAGGAAGAGAAGACCGAGGACAAGGGCAAGGGGAAGGATGTCCTCAAGGATGAGGGTTTGCTGTCACCGCCTACCATTCCCGCGGTAAAGAGGGAGTTGAGTGATGGGAGTGGCGGCATTAGCAGCCCGGACACACTAGTTGAGAGTTCCCCCTCGCCGTTGGGGAGGTCTTAGATTTCTTTTGTTGATGAGAGATGTCTCGAACTGTTGAAAGAATGGTTATGAAAGGGAAGGGAACTTTGATGGGGGATTTGCTTCTCGGTGGGAAAGATTTTACACACAAATTTCGATTCTATGATACCAATCTTCTTTTTTTTGGACGAGGTTTTACATCCGATTCCACGATACCAGAGGCTTAATGGACTAAGCAACAACTTTTTGGGTGCGAGAAGGCTTATTTGGATGATATATACAAGAGAAATTATACGCATGACTGCTTTGTTTACAGTCCTCGAATTTCATGTCTCTCCACGATGTCTGTGCATGGCCTTTAGACAATCTCGAACATTGTAGGCTATCTTGGATACCTACTCAAGGCACCGATTTTGTTGAGAACTCGGAGTGACTGTCAGGCCGCCATGTAACAAAACAAAGAACCAAAAAGGGGCTATCAAAACAATCGCCCAATCCCATCACCAACCCACCATTTTTGACTTATCACACCATCTAAGATTGACCTCTTAGGCTACAACTCTCGAACAAAGCTATTGTACTGCTCTCAAGATAACTGTTGTTCATTCAATCTTGCTGTCCTTGCCAACAAACTCTTGCTCAAGGCCCTATCTCTCGTGTATTTAAGCCCTTTCTACCTCTCACCTTCCACTACCATTCTTTTCTCATCATCGCAATCATCAATCATCATTCCAATCAAGGCTCACTTTTGATCACAGACCAACTTGTCACATCACACACACATACCGCATACACGTTCTATTGTCTTCAGACTAACTACCACTTGCAACCCAACACACACACACACACACACTTGCCCCCCAAAGCAAAGCAAGTAAGGTCAACCCTTTCTTAACCCCCCATCCCCCAACAAAACGGCATCATGGCTCGCATGACACGTCCCCATCCCCACTTCTGCGGGCCTTGCTGGGCCTCAACCAGAGCAGGAGTTGTCTGCTGCAATGACACCTACAACCCCGGGTGCTACGACCCATCCTGCGTACACCACCTATCAGAACTTCTGGTCAGGAGGTACACAGCTACTGACCTTGAGGAACACTTTGAAGAAGGGTACGACTACTCTGACTACTACTACTACGATGAGCACGACGACATCGACTTCTCTCCCAAAGGGCGGGTTCAACGCCGGGAGAGGAGCAGGGGCGTTTACACTGACAGGTTCAAGAAGGGGGAGAAAATTTGGCGCTGGGAGTAACAAACAAGATTGTCAGGAACGAACAGGTGAGCACTCGGAATGTATGATGTGCGAGGTGAGTGGATAACACAAGAATGATCGATTGTTAGGGAAAGGACACACGATAATCTATCTCCCTGGTGGAGATGAGCATGGTACTATATTTTTCTTCTCGGGTTGGTAAAACAGTAACTTTTTATTTAAATTTTGGCGAACAACTGTATCAATAATAATTTCTTTTTCCCAAGCTGAAAAGCAAGAGTCTCCAATTTGCAAAGTATATATATATATATATGTATGTGGACGTAACTTGGTATATTCTCTCGTTCAACCCAAGCGTCGCACGGCCGGCAGGGCAGGACGGACGGACAGCTGCACGATACCAGCGTGATCGCCATCAAAAACTACAAGAGTGGCTGTCAATGCTTGCTTGCCCCAGTGGTATGTATGTATATATATATATATATATGTATATGTATATGTATATGTGGTGATGCCTGCCCCTCATCACACCCAGGCAACCAGCGTTTAAATATGCCATGATTTATACAATACCACCTAGCTAGCTAGATTGTTTCTATACAGCTATATATCAACCATTCTTTCTCCCAAATGCTATTATAATCCCAAAAGTCACATCACAATATTAATACAAATGCCATCTTTATTTCGACTCTTTCTAAGGAAAAGGTCAAGATAACAAGTTCACATCATCACAATTATTCTGCACAATTTCAAGCGATCGATTGGATCCTTGCGTCGCGTACTGAAAAGGTAATTCTGTTAACAATGGAAGGTCACATACATCATCACGATTATTATCATTATTATCATTATTATCATTATTATTATTATTATTATTATTATTATTATCACACAAATTCAAAAGATTAATTAGTTTGGGTTTGCAAAAAAAAACCAAAAAAAAAAACCCTATCATATTAGCTAATCATCATCCAGGGCATCTACACACCCCTCTCTCCCCCAGGGAGAGAAAGAATCATCACGTCCTGGCTGACTTACCTCTTCCCTCCAACTGTGTATCTTGCAAAAACTCACCTATGGCAAGGGAGGGTAGTCAAATCCATCTTAATCAAACTTCATATACCACACCATCCAAGGCTCTCAATCTTGCCGTCCCTCTTCTTCTTGTTGTTTTCTTCACCCCCCTTCTTCTTCTTCTTCTTCTTTGTATCCTCATCCTCACCCCCCTTCTTCTTTTTTCTCTCCGGCTCAAAAACCGGCATTTTCTTCCACTTAAAGCACTCGTGCTCACACCCCAAGCTGCCGCACCCGAGCCGGGTGTTGTAGTAGCAGAAGGGGGATGTTCCCACTGCTGAACGGAGGCAGTGGTCGCAGAGGGGAAGGGGTTGTTACGATGGTGGGGGAAGGCATTTTGTAGGAGTTGGGTTGGTTAGTTGGTGGGGTTGACTTACTTGGTTGTTTTGGCTGGTGGTGAATGGAGATGATGATGATGATGATGATGATGATGCTGATGATGAGGGAAAGAAGTCCAATGGGAGGGTCGGGGGGGACGGGGGTTTAAATACTTGATGGATGAGGTGGTAAAATTATAGAAAACAGTGTATATCGAGACATAACGATACCATTGAAAATACTGAGGAATTGCCCTTTAACACAGTTGTGCAAACAAACCAGCTTTTCTTTCAATCGAAAGGTAGTGAGTGTACGACAGGCTTTCATAATATCATGGTGACATGCTAAATGTCCAAGACTGTAAAACCACCCGTCTTATGCAACCTCTGTGTTGGCGGTTTCGTCGAGAGGTGTGTGCCATCAGAGGGTGGGCTTCTGATTGAGATTTGGACCACATTTTGAACTTGACACCTCGTTGCACAATGGCTACTCCAATTTCTAATCCCTACAGCGCTGCTTCAACAAGACAATACTCAATCATCAACTACTATACGCTTGTTGATATATACCCATACACCATACCAATTCAACAACAGAAATTCCGCGCTGACCCTGATGACAATCCATACCCGCCCTCTAGACATTTTTTTGAACCCAGAACCATATAGCCGGAAACCATTTCCCCAACCTGTCCATTGTTCCAAGTCCAAACCAAACCCAGCCAGGCCTTGATGTATGTCATCGTCATCGTCATTCATGAGGTGCCCGCCCCAAACCCATTAGATCCGTGGTAACGTTAAGCTCAGGGATAGCCCCCCGAGAACATCTAGCTCGCGGAAGGAGGAATCGCCACGCTTTGTTGCTGCTGCTGCTGCTGCTGACCCTGACCCTGACCCTGGCCACCTCTAGCGCCACCACGAGGACCACCTCTGCCCCGGCCAGCATAAGGCGTTCCTCTAAAGCCACCTCTCCCGCCACGGCCTCCACGTGAATTTTCTCCATTCTGACCATCAACCTGCTGCTGCTGCTGCTGCTGCTGCTGCTGAGGCGCAGGGCGGAAGGCAAGGTTGTTGTGCTGTTGCCCTCCCCTCTGACCACCATTGCCGCGACCACGTCCGCGCGCTCTTCCTCCCCTAGGAGCATCAAGGCTGGAAGGGGGCGGAACAGCCCCATACATCGGCGGAGCAGAAGCAGAACCATTGCTGCCGTCCTGGCTGGGTCCACCGTACCCACCTCTGCCACCGCCGCGACCACCCCGTCCACCCCGTCCCCAAGCAGCTTGAGAAGGAGCACCGGCATCTTGCAGACGCTTGCCCTGGTGCATGTGATACCCGCCATGAGTAGTCAAGGTGGTAACTGATGGTGTGACGGGCTGGCGAGCGAGCTGGTTCTTGGAACCGGCAACAACCTGCCGTCCGGTAAGGTTGAGAAGGGTAGTAGACGGCACAGTCTGCCCGCGGAACGGCGGACAGCGGCCACCGAGAGTAGTGCCGCTCATGAACGTGACGTCAAAGACGACATCCAACAACTTGGCCGTGGGGGTGCGGCTGATACCAACCACAGTGCCGCGGAAGGCGATGGGGACCTTGCCGGTGCGGGCAACGTACACCACGCGGTCTCCCAAGGCGAAGTGCTGGTTGCCCAGGCGATGTTCGGCATCGTCGGGCCTCAAAAGCGCATTCCTGGGCACGCCATTCATCTTCTTGGGAACAGTAGGAATAGCGCTGAGCTTGAGACTGTCAGCCTCCGCAGCAATCCTCATGACGACCTCAGAGTCCAGCTGCTCGGCATCAAGAGGGACGCGCTCCATCGAGTTGGTCTTGAGCGTCTTGAGCCAGGCACCGATTTCCTTGACCCGGGCTGTGGCCAGATTAGGGTCACTCCAGAGATCGGTTTCCTTCAACTCGGCGCCCGAAGGGTTCCTCTTGACACCGGCGAAAAAGTCGGGGAAGTTGGTCATGTACTGAACAATCAGGTGCACGGCAGCACTACTGAACTCCCAACCGGTCTGAGACTTGCGAGAGTACCCGAGCACCTTCTGCTTCTTACCCTCAAATTTGAGGTTGAGACCCAAGTTCACGCGAAGATCACCAACCGTCTTGACAAAGTAAGATGAGGTGATCTTGCTGAGCGCCAAGGGGTGCAAGTCGAGCTGCTTGGCGACCATGTAGGATGGCATGTAAGAGTTGCCCCGCTCCGACTCGTAAATGATGCGCTTCGCAAAGTCAGGCTCCCGGCTTTCAAGGGTGGCAAGCCAGACCTGAAGCTTTCCGTTGGTGTAGCCAGATACTTCCAATGGCTGACCATAGTTGAAGTCGCCCAAGAAGAAACCTATCGATTTGACGGGGAACTCTTCCTCAAGCGGCAAGGCGGCCTTTTCGATAAAGCGCTCGTCCTCGTTGGCAACCTCGTCGACAATGATCTGAGAAGCATAGTCCGTCTCCATGCCCGGGATGTCGCCGTACTCCTTGATTGTCGCGCCCTCGTCGGTCTTGATCAGACCCTTCAACATTTGGACCCTGACCAGGGACTCGACAGGGCCAATCAAGATACCCATACGCTTGCTGTAAAAGTTCTCAATCTTGTTGGCCTTCTTGCCAAACTCTTCGATTTCACGATGGCCATGGTGAAGGGTGGCCACCTGACCGTTTCCGTCGAGGACATAGTCGAAGAGTTCATCAGATACCCCAACAATCTTGGCCTCCTGGAGGAAAGGATAACCAACAAAGCAGCGCTGTCCAAGCTTGACCTTGGCACTCTCGACCTTGGTTCTCATCTCGGTGCCGATGAGGTTCACCACCATGCTTTCGTTGCGGCTGTCTTGCTTGAACACATTAACTCCATGGAAGCCAAGGCTAGCCGTATAAGGCAGGGTGGCGAGAGATGGGAATCCAGCCAAAGCCTCGGCATTCAACAGAGCGCCATCGGTGAGGCCGGCGCGGTACTCAAGACCTTCGACCGGAGGAAGATCAAAGATGTTTTCGACACAGTGACAGTGAGGGATGTGCGGGAAAACATCCACCAAGGATGAGGCATACTCAAAATCGACATCTGGAGAATACGTAAACTTGAGGGCCACACCGAAGTCGTTGCGTGCCTTCTCCTCGTCGGAAAGAAGATCGTTTTTGGGAGCCATGGCGTCGAGGAGGCGCTTTTCGTCAATGAAGGGGATCTTGACGACGGCCTCCCAGTCCATCTTCTTTCCGTTCATGTCGAGCTCGAAATCCCGGGGATAGAAATCGATGATGGGCGAGTCCTTGTCCGTCATGAGGGGCCAGTATACGGTAGGCACGATGCTTTTACTGCGGTCGGGCAAGACACCCATGAGCTGTTCGTTCGGCCTGAACGGCTGGCCCAGGGTGAAGTTGAGGTCTGCACCCAAACCCTTGACGACATCTGAGACCAGAGGGGAGTAGTGATAGCGGTAGAACCACGGCCACGACGCAATTCCACGATAGTAGTAGAAGAGCACCCACTGAAGACCTTGAACGTAGTTTTCTGCGAGCTTGCGCAACTCATCTTCGTGCTTCCCCTCGGCCCACTCGGGGAACTTGTCCTTGTAGTAGCCGTCCTTCCACTCTTGGAACTTTTGCTTGTACTTGGCCTCCATGGCGGACTGGGCATCGGCACCTGTCAGGTCGAGAACTTGGGCACTGTCGTACTTCTTCACAATGCGAAGAGATGCCGACTGCGCTTCCTCGTCCTCCTCGTCTTCGTCGTCTCTCACAGGGAAGGTCAGGATAAGGTGACGACGTCCATCGTCGTCCTCCTTGGTAGCCCACTCAATGTGCGCAGCATCAGCCAGATCCTGGACGAACTTGCGGTCGGCCGCATTTAGGCCGGTGCCGAGATCAAGAGTTTGCGAATTCCGGTTGGTCAGAAACTTTCGAATCTTTGTCTTCCACAGCGTCTTTTGATCTGAGCTGATGATCAGCTTGCCCTTGACACGAGCCCTGGCAATCTCGGCCTCGTCATGTTCAAGCATCTTCTTGCCCCGCAGCCAGCCGGCATCTTCGTTTTCATGCTCAAAGAACCGGTACTCTTCTCTCCCAAGCTCCTCCAAGAGAATGGCTAGCCTCTTGAGATTCACTCTGCCATTTTCATTGATGTATCCATCACACTTTCGAAGTACCTCCTTGTAAATCTTGAACATGGTGGCCAACGCACCCTCGTTGATGTGAAAGCGAGGAAGATTGGGCAAGAAATCGTTGCCCACAAAGAAGGCCATCAAGATGAAGTCATCAATGACCTTTTCCATATCGAACGGCATGGGGATTGCGCCCGGTACTTTGAGCTCTTGGAACTCCAGCTCCAAGTACTCTCGAACTATGCAGAGATGCATCAGGTAAAAGTTTTGATGCTCCAACTCCTTAACCTTGTGCTGGTCCTTGACGCGGCCAAACTGAACCTCTTCTCGGAGGAGGCAGAAGTGTGGGTCATGGCTCAGGAGACCCAACATGATGAGATCGGCATCGAGGCCGTACAAGCAGTGGCGGACGTTGGGGTTGTAGTCCGGTTGCGCGCGTGCGTTGCGGATGTACTCCATGATCTTGTGCTCACCCTCACCAGGGACCTCGTGCCCTGACAGGACAATCTCGGGACCCTGCCAGTCCTTGTCTTCAGACACCTTCTTGTTGATGAAGTACTTGAGCTGCTGGGTAAGCTTGGCCATGAACTCAGTTCCTGTGTCAAGGTCAGCAGACCGAAAACCAGACGTCTGGTGGCAGCAACATACCTGGCGTGATGCAATTGGAGTCGAACGGTGGCTCCTTGGGCAACTCTTTGCCCTCCTGAATGGCCTTATCACGGGCCCTCTCAGCGTCCAAAGCAGTTCTGAAGCGACGAGCACGCTGTTGGTTCATTTTGGCGCGCGGGGCGACACCATCGATGGCCATGAAGAACAGCGTCTTCGGTTTGATCTTACCGAAGAGATGTTCTATATAGTTGAATATAGCGATGAACATTTGTTCTTCGCTAATACGGGCCTGCTGAACATCATCCGAGTCCTTGTGGGTACAATTATGAATGATACCATTCATATCCAACTGAAAATCACCAACATATTAGCGACTGGCACAACATGGGTATAGTCTCCCGACTCGAGAAGGCTGGCGCACGTAGAGGCAGTCGAACTCGGGAATTCGATTCTCGGCAATGAGTTGCGATATCGCCGGGTAACGCTCAGAGAGCCATCTGAAAAACTTGGGAACACTGGATCATGTCTGTCAGTCGCATGCTGAGGCCGAGAGATATGCGGATGGAATACTCACCCCATCCTGCCGGCAAGCGCTCAACAAGGCGCAATCTGTTGCAGAAAGCTAGTCGTAGAAGTGGTAGCCGAGGTCGTCGTTGAAGGTGATGCCGACACTAAATAAAAACGGTCGGTCTTCTTTTGGCGGGAGTCGCACGCTTTGTAGTGGTACAGAGTAAGATGCGCAGCGGCGGCGAAAGAAAACAAGAGGAAAGTAGCTGTCTGTCCCAGAGAAGATGCTTTTGTCGTAACTTGTAGCCAAAGGATACTGGGATATTCCTGGAGATGTGCGATAGGCAAGGGGGGCTTGAGTGCCTGATATGCGTATTTGGAAGGGTTAGACGTTGAGGATTGGTTGAGTTAAGTTTGGAGAGGTGTAAAACTGACGGTGCTGCTTGCAGTTGTCCTCGGGCTACAGTGAGGCTGTGAAACGACGAATGGCCGGTGACTGACTGGCCGAAGCCACAATGCCCCTCGCCCCCACCGCAAAGTACCCAGGTACCTAGGTACTCTAACTGTGCGAGCACAGACCTTCTGGAGACCCAAGCTCTTTACTCCCAAGGCTTTGCGCAAATCAATTAAACGTCGCGTGGTCGCGTCGCGTTGAGAAAGTCGATGGCGGTGGCCTTGCTTCGAATTCATTCTGTACAGAAAGTTTCATGGCAACTAAACAGAAGCTTCTTTTTCTGACTCCAGATAACAACACCTCTGTTCCAATCGCGACTGGTTTCTTTCAATTCAAAGAACCATCTCGTTCACTGCTTCGGCCTGCCTTTCTGCGATTCAAGACTCCAAATCTCTGATCTGCGGACTGCAGGAGCGCAATCACCACCATGGCTCCCACCGAGGTTGTCAACGACGTGGACGGTATGTCGCTATATATGCCCACCAACTCCGCCGCGAGAGACACTAACAACCTTTGCAGTCAATATGGAGGAAGAGGACGAGGACGAGAAAATGCAGCAAAAACTCATCAACGAGGGTAGGTGTTCTCCTGGTTGAGCTCGCGAGACTTGGCAGCGGCTAACTTTTGCGGCAGAGTACAAGGTCTGGAAGAAGAACAGTCCATTCCTCTACAGCATGATCCTCAGCACAGCGTTGGAGTGGCCGACACTGACCACCCAGTGGTTCCCCGACGTTAAGGACGTTCCAGACAAGAATTACACGACCCATCGCCTGCTTCTGGGAACACATACTGCAGAGGGCAAGCCAAACTACCTTCAGATCGCCGACGTCGAGGTGCCAAAGCCGGTCAAGCCTAGCGCTCGCGACTACGATGAGGACCGCGGCGAGATTGGCGGACATGGAAACTTGGGCGGATCTGGCGAGCCGCATGTGATCAAGATGACGATTACGCAAAAGATCGATCACCCGGGCGAAGTCAACAAGGCGCGATACCAACCTCAAAATCCCGACATCATCGCCACGCTCGCTGTCGACGGGAGGGTGCTCATTTTCGATCGGACCAAGCACAGCTTGCAGCCAACGGGAACCCCCAATCCCCAGCTCGAGTGCATTGGTCACACGCAGGAAGGTTTCGGTCTGGACTGGAGCCCAGACAAGCCTGGCTGGTTGGCGACCGGTAGCGAAGACAATACCGTCATGGTTTGGGATTTGAACTCGTACAGCGGCACTGACAAGAAGGTGAGGCCTTGGCGCAAGTACACCCACCACAGCCATGTCGTCAACGATGTCCAGTACAACCCAATCACCCCGTCCTGGATCGGCACCGTATCAGACGATGTGACGATGCAAGTCATTGACATCCGCACCGCTGACAGCACCAAGGCGGCTGCCGTTGCCCGCGATGGCCACAGCGATGCCATCAATGCCATCGCCTGGAACCCCAAGGTCAACTACCTCGTTGCCACCGCCTCGGCTGACAAGACAATTGGTATCTGGGATCTCCGAAACCTCAAGGCCGGCAAGATCCACACGCTCGAGGGCCACAACGACGCGGTTACCTCTCTGGCCTGGAACCCAATCGACCACGCCATCCTCGGCAGTGGAGGCTACGACCGCCGGATTATCCTCTGGGATATCAGCCTTATTGGTGACGAGCAAACACCCGAGGAGGCTGAGGATGGACCGCCGGAGCTTCTGTTCATGCACGGCGGCCACACTAACCATCTGGCCGACTTTAGCTGGAACAAAAACATCCCCTGGCTCGTCTGCAGCGCGGCCGAGGACAACTTGCTGCAGATCTGGCAGCCGACCAAGAGCATCATCTCGCCGCCGAACCAGGAGATGGAGATGAACGAAATGGGGAGCGCCGACGGAACATCTATCCCCTAGGAAGGAGGGCTCAAGAAAGGCATCAAGAGAAAACACGGCGAGCCCGGCGGCGTGAAGGTGAAGCAGGAGGAAAGCGACCAGAGCACTGTCCTCAGGCACAAGAGGAACAACCAGAGTGTATCTCAGCAATTGCCCATGGCGGACTTGGAGATTCGCGACGACACATCGTCTCAAGGCAGCAGCGAGGACAGCGACCGTCCCCGGCCCAAGGCTGTGTACGATGAGTATCTGGAGCTGGTCAGGAACGCGCAGCAATCCGGCGAGGGCAAGCGACAGACTCGGGGTGGTAAAACTTTTTGAAGTGTGAGCGACAGCAGCATGGTTATTCACGGTGGCATTTTCGTCCAACCTCGTACTATTCCTCTTCCTCTTCCTCTTCTTGGTTGTAGAAAAGGAGTCGGAGGCTATGGCATGTTTCCTGTTTCTTTTGTATGTGTTCACGCCGCAGACGGCAAGCTAGTAGTAGTGTTTTCCTAGAATGTACTTTCTGGGCCCTATTGTTTTTTTCCAGGTTTCTTCTTTGCGGTGTAATTACTTGTGACTTCTGTTTTATCGGGTTGAATAGGTCTCTTTAGACAAGAGCTGAACTCTTATTGTAGAGAGAGATAAGAGCTGGAAGTTGGTTGGCTATGAGCCGGGTGCCTGGTGGTGGGTGGGCTCGTGACGCATAAGCTGCTCCTATTGTTCTTGAGAGCTCCTATTGTTGACCATTGACAATAGCTGTGAATAGACATGCATGTCGACCACACCGCCGCCAGCCCACAGAAATATTCAGTTAAAAAACTACAAATCATCTCGTCTTTTCTGCAATTAATGACCTTGTCTCCATTCACATTTTCTCACTGTTACAACTGCTTTGACAAAGACCCCGAAGGCATTCCAAAAGTTCGCCTACCACGACCAAAGACCACAGACAAGACGACTGTCCCTCCTCCACCTCGCCATGAGTGCCATCGACCTCGAAGACAACGACTGGGTTGATGACATACAGGATTTGGATTTCTTTGACGATGACGATGACGACTGGGATCTGGACGACCTCATCGCCAACCCGCAAAATGAGGCCCAGCGGATCTATTTCGACAACGTTGTCGCTCGCGAAGAGAGAACAGAGGAAGAGATCGAGGCCCTTGGTATCCGGCCCGATGTCCCTTCCATCGTCCTCCACATGACCCGCTGGGAGGAGGAGGCTCGCTCGGTTGTTGCCAACGGGAGAATCATCCCTACCGTCTCTAACCTTTCCGACAGAGTCCGGCTCGTCTACCACGGCCGTCCCAAGGAATTCGCCTCCTCTGACGAGGAAGAGTCCGAAGATGAGGCAGCCGTCCTTGGCAAGAACGAAGAGGAGTTTGAAGCCACCTGGGAGTCACAGCTGATCGAGCACGGCCTCGAGAACAACAACCCCTTGCTGCAGAGGGAATACCGCGCCATCGCGAGGGAACGTTTCCTCTCCCTGAAGCAATCGATCAAAACCTGGCAAAAGGCACAACGGGCCCCCAAACGTCCCAAACCGACCATCGACCTGCTGTCAACCCTCTGCACGACCCCCGAGCTCCTCATCGAAGTCTGCAAGCACCTCCGCCCCAAAGACCTCGTCAACCTCCACGCCCTCCACCGCGGCTTCCACAACACCCTCAACCACAACATGCGCAAGTTTGTCTTTGCCTGGTCCCGGCACATGGCCCCCGTGGCCTCGAGGATCTACTCGTCCCCCGTCTACGCCCACTGGTTCATCCCCGACCCCCTCGGCCGAAAGTGCACCCGCTCCGACCACGAAATCTCCCTCCCCCGACCGGGCCAGGCCTGTCTGGGGGAAGACGACATGCACGTCAATTGCGACGGGAGCAAAACCCGTCTTGTACCAGGCCTTCTCTGGCTGCAGCACGTGGTGCAGAGGGAGGCCCGCGTGCGTGACATGCTCGCCGTCCTCGCCAGACACGGTCATCGCACGCTCCCGGAAACGGACGCCACCCTCCAAAAGATCTGGCTGGTGTTAGAGTGCCCTACCAACAGGATGAGACTCACCCTCTTTTGCAACGAGAGCTTCCTCACCGACGATGATCTGTACCGCTTCCAGCTGTTTTTTGTAAAGTTGGTCCTCTTGTTCAACGATCCCGTCTTTGGGCCGGGGTCGACTGTTCTGGCGAGGTTGTTTATGGGGCAGAGGGGGCTGAGTCCGCTGTGGAAGTTTTTGAGGAGGAAGGGGTACACCACCGAGGCGGGGATACATCAGCTGAAGCTGAGGTATGACGTGCCGCCGAAGAATAGGGAGATATGGAGTGGGGAGCCGGTGATGGGGGTGCAGATTTATGACATGGGGGTCGGGCAGTTTGAGGGGTGGGAGAGGGGGGGGACCGAGATTCTCATGAGGCCGGAGGAGCTGGTTGTTATGGAGGGGGGGAGGAGGGGGCTGGGGGCGATGTGCGGGTGGGAGTGTTTGTTTGGGATGATGACGTATGGACATGTCGACTACGAGACTGGGGATAATCTGGTGCCGAGTTTGGAGGAGATGTACATGAGTGATGAGGACGAGGAGGAAAAGACTGGGCTGGAACGAGTGGCGGGGTTGCACGAGAATGAGATTGTCAACGGGGAGTGCGGGAATGTGCCCTTTGAGAGGGGGATGTGGCAGCCCAAGCATGCGAGGAAGGTGAGGTGGAAGGAGTTGACGGACGAGGAGAGGGAGGAGATGATCAAGGAAGAAGAGAGGGAGATGGCGAGGAAGGAGAGGGTGAACAAGGGGATGGATATGTATAGGTTGGCGAGGAGGAAGTTGGAGGATGTGTATAACATTACGGCTATGGGGTTTAAGGGGAAGAAGTTTAAGATCAAGGTGCCGGATCCGAAGGTGGACTGGAAGGAGGAGACGGCTGAGATTCACCGGCAGGTTCTGTTCAGGATGAAGGCTGCTATGGCGGCGGCTACGGTGGTGTCTAGTGATGAGTCGGAGTCTCCGCCTAGGGCCACGAAGCTGCCCAGGCTGGAGGATGTTGGGGTTGTGAACGATCAGGTCGTTGAGGCTGCGCCTGGGAACATAGACGATGATAGGGACACTAACATGGACCAGGACATGGCCGAGAGCGTGGATAAGGATATGGACGTGGAGATGGAAATCATTGACCCAGACCATAACACGGGCGAAGACGAAGGCTACGACGCTGAGTCGGAAGAGTTTGACGACGAAGGCTGGGAGGAGTTCGAGGATGACAAAATGGAAATCGACAGCCCCCAAATCACTGTTGTTCTCCGTCCAGCACCACCACCACCTCCTCCTCCTCCTCCTCCTCCTCCTCCTCTTCAGTCCCCCCCTCCCCCAGCCCTAGCCGACGTCATCAACCACGACAACCACCTCGACACCATCTGGTCCTCACCCCCCAACTCTGCCCCCCCAAACCCAGCCTCATTCAATGCCCTTCCCCTATCAGAGCAGTACCCCATTCTATTCGGCCCTGAGCTCCCTTCCTCACAAAACCTATCCCCCTCTCACGGCGCCCACGCCATCAGTCAAGCGACCACTCACCTCCCCCCCGAACAGCACCTCTGGGATCCCTCCAACATCACCCTCCACCAACACTCCCCCCCAGACGCCAACTCCTCCTCCGACCTCGACTTCAACGACTCCGAACTCGAGACCATCCCCATCCCCCCCGAAGAAATTAGTACCTTCATGTCAGGCCAATACATGACACCACCACCCCCACCCTCAGACTCGGACTCATTCGGCACCCCCTCCCCG